AGATACCCTCGCCTGCATGTTCAACTCAACTCTATTAAAAGAAAGTGAGAGAATAGATGGAAAAGAACTTTCTGATTTAATAAATTTCTCTATAAGAAGTTCACAGAGAGAAAAATAAGAACGTAAAAGTAAATTTTAACCTAGGAAAAAACTCGTCTCAATTTTTTGTCCTAAAATTGTTATAGCAAAATTTGTTTAAACAGACAGATTAAGCATTAAGTAACCTCTAGTGTTTGATTCGAAGCTTCACTCAACATCAATTGAACTTCGAAGCCTTTAAGATCCTGTTCGACCATTTCTTTGCAGCGTTTGGCCTTTTCCAGCTCCTCATATTCCATGCTCAGTTCCGATGTGAGCTTAGCGATTTGCTTTCTCAGAGTCACCACTCTTCGTTCTTCGCCATTCAATATTTCAAACACACAATAGCATCAAATGCACATTGTAATTGTTCTTCCGTCAAATTGAGAAATTGAAAACGAAGCGACAGAATTACCTCCTTGAGATTTCTCAGCGGCGAAATTGCGGATCAGGCTCAACAGTTGTTTCTGCGAATCGCTTCCCCTTCCCGCCATTTTCTACCGAACCTTCCGCAGACCAAATTTAAACGCTCCTATTTAATTGTAAATAGACGACAGACTGAACTAAGTTTGACCTATTTATTTGTAACACTTTTTCTTCAAGGTTGGCCAATAAGTTTGTTTGAAGTTATTTTTGTGATAATTTAAAATTATAATAGAGAATCAAGTGCTATTTGTTTATATCTATTTAGCACCTGCTTCCTTCCTTAACACAAGTAACAATAATAATATGGAAATAATAGTATGGAAAGTAAAGAGATAAAATAGAAGAGAATACTAGTTTGTTTCACTGTATCAACTGCCCACTCACATATATGAATAATGAATAATACACTTTAAACAATTTAAAAAAAAAATAATACAATAAAAAAGTCTTAAATTACTCCAATTAACTAAAAGAAAAAAATTTAAATACACTCTTCACGTTACATAAAATAATGAATAATACACTTTAAACAGTAAAAAAAGTTTTAAAAAGTAATAGAACCAAAAGAAATTCTAAATTACCAGAACTAATTAAAAAGAGAAATTTAAACACACTAACATCGAAACGTGGTTACATAGAATCCTTACATTGGGCAATGCCACTCTGTGACACGTGGGCATACATTTTGAGAGGAAATGCTTTCATCTTCCACACCTACGTGGGATTTCACACATGACAATATACTTTTCTTCTTCCTCGCTAAGCTATGCATTCTTCCTCTCTTTCTCTCTCAAAAATCCTTACTTTTTGGCGTTCTTCTCTCTTCCTCAGATTTAACATTACATTTGGAATTCTTCCTCTTGCACTCACACTTAACACCAACTTAGTGTTATAATTTCTACGCCTTCTTTTCACTTTTTTTCTTACTTAGCTTTTTGTAAGGGTTGCATTTCTTCCGTTTTTTTCCCTCTCATTCATTTTTGTTTTTATCATTTATTCGCAAGTTTTTTTTCTTAAAAAAAACATTTCTTATGTCTTAATAGTTTTTGCACGTGAAATCTTATAAAGTAGTGCATCTTTTTAATATCTATATTTATTATTGTTCCTGTAGGATTAAATACGGTAAATTAAGTTTTTTAATTATAAAATAACTCAATAATTAAATTTTAATAATTTAACGTGTTTGACTATTATTTATTACTACAAAATTTATGTTGATCTTATAAATACAACTAATATTTTTTAAGGAGTATTAATTCTTATAAACACTAACACATAATATTTATAAAGATTTTAATTTTTTTACTGACTTAAGTGTCAAAGAGTCTTTTGTGTTACCAATAAGGAACATTGATGTTTTGAAGATTAATATTTTGTTGATGCTACTTAAAGATTTTAGTTAGAATTTATTTAAAAGCATCTATGTAGAATCAATTGTAATAGGAATAACCTTGATAATGTAAACACTTAAAAGTTTTACTATCTTTAGAAAGTTTGCGCAGATAATCGATTATTTGGTGTAATAATCAATTATCACGAGCTTTCTTAAATAAATATTATTCGCGCATATAATTGATTATTACTTGAAATAATTTATTATTCTGATATGAATCAGAACTACCCAAATTGCGCAGGATAATCGATTATCACCTTTCTGAAAACCCTGTAACGAACTTGAATAATCGATTATTACTTACAATAATCGATTATCACTAGCAGTTGTAATGGTCTTTTTCGTTTCAGACTAGTATGCTATATATACTTTTGTAAAACCTTTTAGAGGGTTTATCTATGCCATTTGAGAATACAGTTTGTCTGAGAAAGTTCTCAAGTGATAGTAGTTACTCTTGTCAAGTCTTGTGAATAGGAGAAGCTTGTGCTTTGTGTGTGTCAAAGGTTAGAGTAGTTCTCTTCAAGTTGGCAGAGTTGTCTCTTCCGGTTCGTTTGTCGAAGGAAGGTTCTTCCATTCGTTTGTCGAACAAAAGGTTTTTGCTGTTCTTAATTTCTATTCATCTTATTGTAATTGTTAAATTGATTTTAGTGAAATAGTTAATCACTCTTTATAGTGATTAACAATTGACGTAGAATATGCTGATTTGAACTAGGATAAAAATCATTTGTGTGATTTTTCTCTTTTCTACACTCTTTAAACTTTAGCACATCAACTGTTCGATAAAAGTTTTATAAGAAAATTAAAGGAACCATTTTATTGACCAAACACGCTTTCCGCTCTTAACAATCGAATACATTTTAATCTCGTTGTGCAAAATCGGTACCGATTGATGCTAAGCTCGAGGGCTTGAAGCAGGTTAACCCGTTTTTCTTTAAATGACTCCTACTCCTTGTCCTTCTTAGACTCTCTCTTGTTTTTTTATTAAGAAGCCTAAGCTCCTCTTCTAGGATAACAAGATGAGAATCTCTTTCAATTTTCTCCTTTTTTCTTTTTAAAATTGCCTATTGTTTCCTCCAAATTTTTAGTGATTTTAGTTCTTGGACTAGTTTATTTAAGCTTTTTGGAGACTCCACACTAGAATTACTTCCAATTTGATAAGAAGTTGCTCTAAACATTTTCAATATTTTCTATATGATATGCACAAACAAAACTTGTATTTCAAAAAGAATTCCTTAAGAGACTTAAAAAGGAAAAAGAAGCTCAAGTTCACTTCCAAGAAAGATAGGTGAATAACAAAGGATTACTTAATAACCTAGTCTTTCTTAGTCAAAGTTTACTTCAGGCCCTCTTACACCAAACTTCGCAAAGGGAATTAAATTTGATAAGCAAGTAGACATATTAAACTATGAATAATTAACAAAAGCAATAAGGTTCTAATTAAGAGATGAAATTACATACCAAACTATTTCCCAAGAAACCTAATTAGGCCAAGTTTATAAGAAGCAAAATAAAACAAATTACAATTCAAAATTAGAGTAAGATGCAAATATAACCAATGAAAAGCTACTCCTCTCCAAGTGTTTCTCTCCTCCTCTTTTTGTCTACTTCACCAAGGCTTCAAGTCCACTTTAGGTTTTCATCCCCTAAGATGTTACCTTAAGGGATTGGTTCACCTCATAAGAGAGTCTATAACACCAAAAACACTACAAGTTGAGAGGTCCAAAAGAGAGATTCAAGAAAAGGCTTAAAAATAATGAAGGCTAACTTTAAAAGGAAAGTTTGCATGAAAAAACCAAGAGTATCAAGAACGATGTAAGACCCAGGAAAAATAATTATCTAGAAAGGTGATGGGGTGTATCATGAACTAAAATTTGTTTGGTTTAATGTGGTTGTTTGGAACTTATGTGTGGTTGTTCAAAACTATATTAGAATATATATATATATATATATATATATATATATATATATATATTATTTGTTTTATGTACAAGTATGATTTGTATTAATATTTATAATAATTGTTGTGCATGTGTTTGCTAAAAATTAATTAGAGTTGGGAGTGAAATTAACATGTTAATTAAAGTAGCTTTTGAAAAATTAAAATAGAGTATATGATGTGGAGACTTATCAGAATCAATTAGAACAAAGATATTAAAATATAATATATTATGTAAGGACTTATTAAAATTAATTAGAATAAAAATATTAAAATATAATATATTATTTACGGACTTATGAGAATCAATTAAGAGAAAGATAATTTTATTTTAACATTTTGAGAATGATGGACTTTTATAAAAATTGAGAAAAATAAACTCAATAAGAATATGTATGTCTCCTATTTATAGTAAGATAAGGTATAGAGAAAAAAAAAGTCACAAACTTTGAGGGTGTCATGAAAGTAAAAGTTTAATTGAGTAAAGACATTTGAGACCTCGAGGATATCGTAAAAGGACATTGTTTATTTTAGGAAGAGAATTGAAGGGAATTGTTTGTATGATGTGATTTGTTAATTATGCTTGATTACTTCAATTATATGTTGTACCTTGCTAAATTCAAGATGTTTTTTCTCTCTTGGTATGATGTTGGCGTGTTCCTTTGAGTTGGTGACGATTAAACATTCAAATATAATCAAAGTATTTAACAATTTCTTTGGTTAAACATTCAAATATAAAATAAAACCTTTCTTTTACCAAATAAATTTATTTTGTGAAGCACAATTTCTTTATTAAGCTTTTTAATTAAACTTTTCTGCATATTTTTTTTTAATTTAAACCATTTTATAAATATTTCGTGAACCTAAAAATCTCTTTATCGATGTAGTGGATGTTAGTAACATATATTAGATTCATAATAACATAAAGCAAGTAAGGTGAAGCCCAAAGATATTAGATCTTAGAATTCACAAATAATTAGTTATTATTAAGTCATAAGATCGACAAATAACAACTCCTAATTCTATTTAAACCAATTTTGATAAAGATCTTACTCCCACGTTGTAGATTCTTACTCAAATGCAGAAATAGACAATGAGACAATAACTTTTTTTTTTATTATTTTATATCAAACAAAATCGCAATATATTTAAATTCTTGTAAATTCTGTACAAGACTTTATTGGATTTGACAAAGCAGTATAGAAAATCATTAGTCAACAATGGGTGGTCTCTTCGTTATCTTTCCCTTTGTAGCTCAGCAACAAAGGACTCTTACTACTTGACGAAGGACGCATGTCAAAGTCCTCACTCAATTCATCTTGTTTTGCATTACCCCATATGACAGCATAAAATCCAAACGAGAGTATCACTGCTCCAACAAGACTACAAAGTTTAAAACAAAATGTAGATGTCAAAAAGTGCATTGCAAAAGTGAATCAAATATTCGTGTCCTCTGGCAGTTTCAATTGATTCAAATCTGGCAGAATTAAAATCCAAGAAGGATAAATAAAAGGAAACGAAATCCATACGTTCCAAAATACAGAGCATCACCAAGGAAGATGACACTCGAAACGGCTGCAACCACAATGGACAGAGGCTTAAAGATTGAAACATAAACTGGGCCTTTAAGATGAATGCCCCAAGTGTGCACCAAACTACTTAGGCCTGTGCAAAAGAAACCCTGCATCAATCAAAGTAAAACTCAGTTTTAGCTTCATTTCCTTAACTCTTGTATCAATTAAATTTTTGTTATCTTCTCACCGAATACACAATTGCTATCAATGTTATATCAGGATTTATCTTCCAAGCGCTCAAATTTTCTTCTAATAGCAAGCAAATTGGAGCAGATATCAGAGTCCCGCTCAGGTTGTACAGGAACACCACAATAAACTCTGCTGGGTATTGTTTCATAATATTGGTCTGTTTCCAAGCAACAGAAATTGTACTTAGTATTTCTAAATTACATTTAGCCATAAAAATTGTTTTTTTAACAATTTTTTTTATAACTTTTTTATACCTGTTGACGTAGTAACTTGTGATTGATCCATTTCAAATATACCGACCGATAAAATAATGATATATAGTCTATTGTCAAAAAATTGTCAGTGATATTCGTTGGAAGGTGCTTAGATTTAAAGATAAGGATCACTTTGAAATACTAATATTGGAGTAATGGTACCATGATACACTTTTACATTCATTTGACACATATTACAAGGATAAAATGATAAAAAAAGTATAAACTTTTATATTGTTTCAAGAAAGAAGAAAATAAAAAGTAAATAAAGATAGTGTAAAATGAATATAAAATATCTAAAAGAATTATTACTCGTAATATTAAAAAGTTACTTTTCCTTTTAGTTGAATCTAATAAAGTACTTTGTTTCTAGTTTTCCTTTACAGATAAACAGTGAGAGAGAAAAAAATAGTTGTTCTTCGTTATTTTTTGCAGTAAGTTATACTAAGTTTTATTTTTCACACATAGGAAGCACACTGGAAAGTTTTGTGCTCAATAAAAGGGATTAGTATATAATATTTTCCAAAGAATAAAAAGGAACAATGAAATTTCAGAAATTTTAAAATATGATTATTGAGATTTAATCTAATTATTTATATAAATATTTAGAAAGAAAAAAGGAAGTGAAAAAAGAATCTTTGTGAGTGTGTTTAATATATACCTGAACAATGTACCAGATTGGAACCAAAAGATACTCAATGGCAAGTAGGGATCCACCAAGAACCCAATTTGTTTGTGATGTAGATCCCATTGGAGAAAGAGGCGTAGGAGATAGTGTTGGAGATGATGTTGAAAGGATTATGGAACCCTTATAGAGTAAAACTATGAGTGCACCTAATATGGATACGGACGAACCCAGGATTTTGGCCTGAGTGCTTGAGCTTCTCAAAGCTACCTTTTCCATCCTTCAAACAAATGGACCATCAACATGGTTTAGGATAAAAAATGTGACAGTAGTGAAAGTTATAATTATATATAGTTCATAAACTTAACTGAAACACGTGAACAAATGAATATAAATACATATGTTTTTATTATTTATCTCATAATCTTTTCTACATTGATTTTAGGTAAAAAATAATTTAATAAAAGAATCTCTTATGGGAAGAAATTATTTTTCAAAGCTAATAACTAAGGGTCAACTTGATCGACTTAGTCTGAACTCGATTTGGTGTGATTTCAATTTAAAAATAAATGAAATAATTTTAAATAAATTTGAATTGTATGATGCAATTTTAAGATTATAGTGAAAGCATAAGTTTATTCAACATTGATGCATGTATTAATAATAACTAATGTATTGGACATTCATGACATGTTGAGATTACTAACATAGGCTAATTCATACTTAAAATTATTGACTTGAACTAATGATATTTGTGATGCTTTTAATTTTTTTTAAGGGATTATCTTTATTATAAATAAATTATATTAACTTGCACAATAATTAAATTATTGTGCAAACAATAATTTATATTATTGTTTACATTAGTTATTATTTGGTTTTTGTTTTTGTTAAAAATAGTTAAATTGATATTTTAGTTTTTTCTTTTCATTTTAATTTGGTCTTGATATTTTTAAAAGTTATTTAATATGGTTGTTTTTGTTAGGACCTTATAACTGGTAATAAATTCACTGTCAAGTTCATTTGTATTTATTTTTTATTTTTTAACTTTTATTTTATTTTTCTCTATTTTTATTTTTGATTTTTTTTTCACATGTCACTTTAATATTGTAATACGTGATATAGTATAATGTGACAGTATTAATATGACATAATAATATTAATATGACATAGTAGTGACAAAGTATTAATTTAATCCCATTTTTTGTAAAAATTGAACAATGTTTTTTTTTTAAATTATAGAAAAATTTATTGTTTTTTTATAAATCTTATGTTGTTCTTTTTATTAAAGTTGAAGTTTTTATCAAATATTTTTAAACTAGCTTTAAAATCTATATAAATTTATTTAAAACCATGTAGTTGGAGTTTAAATATGATTATTAAATAAATGTGAAACAAAACATAAATCAGATTTCCAAATACAACATGAAAAAAAATTTAAAACGAATGAGTTAAATATTATAATTTCTTAAAATTCAAAAATAATTCCATATATATATATATATATATATATATATATATAATTATTGTTGCTTTCAAATATTATTTCTTAGTTTCAATTTAGTATAGTTTATTTTTCTTTTCAAAAATATTTAATAGAATATTTGTACAAAAAATAAATTTTGTCCATAAACGAAATAACATTGTTCTATTTTCACAACAATTAAAATTAAAATGAGATTCTAGCACGTAACATTCATAATACTACATAATATAACTTTGAAGTAAGATAATTTGAAGTAAGACGTGAAAAATATTAAAAAAATTCAAAAAAATAAAAAAAACATAAATTGACAAGTAATACTCATTTTAATACCGTTTATACATTATTAATGAAAATGATTAAAATAAATCTCACTAAAAATATGAGGACCAAATTGATAAAAAAGTTCTACATGATTAACTTAATACTTTTAGACAAAAACAATTATTAAATGAATAATTAAATCTTTATATAAAAAGGAAACATTTTATTAATTTGTAATAATTGTGAAACTAATGTGTATAAAATCTTTTAAATTTCATGTGACATTATAAGAACCATATAAAATGTTAGCTAACCAATTTTTACACAGTTATTATTTACACAAGTGAGGATGTTTTAATTAAAGTTATCCTACTATAATAAAGTTTAATCAAAGAGATTATGAAAATAGGAGTAACGAGGATACCATAAAACTAAAATAGGTGACGATATAACTAAGTAAATAATAAAAAAAAAGTGTATAGTCTGTTGTCAGAAAATAAACATATCTCAAAGGAATATCCTGCGTGGGGTCCAAATTGATTGTCATCAATAATGTTACTTTCTTTATAGTGTCCTTCACCAAATTTGAATTTAAATATACATAAAGTGAAAAGGACATAATTCATATTATTCATTGAAAGCTTTTGGACTTATTCATAAAGGACCTTAGATATGTTAAGGTTCACAGTGGTATAATTCTTGGTTATAATGATTGCGTGCTTCCTCCACTTTATATTATAAATGTGTTTTTAATTTTTTTCAACAATAAAAGAATAACATAAATATTAGTATAACATATATGCAATCCGTATAAGAAAATGGTAATCTCTTGATATTACTTTTTCTTTTTACATTCATCCTATAACCGCATAAATTTATGATTTATTATAATATAATAGTTTATTAAAAAATAAGTCTACCATAGATATTTTTCGTTAATGGTGGTAGGAAAATTAATTTTTTCTTAACCTTTACGGAGAACATACAGAAATTATCAGTACAACACAAAACCAAAACCAGTATCCCACAAAATTCAGAAAACTCTTTCAAAGGTGCATAATTTTTATATGAATATATGTTGATAAGATGTAATGAATCAACAATAAAAATAACGTTGTAATCTTAATTTATTATTTCAAATTTTAGGTTACGTATGTATAATCACTTAAAGAAACCAACGTTTGGTATTTCTGATATGACACTATACCAGTCTAATCTATTGGCAAACATTTTATTAACATTAAATTATTATTAAGATAATCTTATCCTAAAAATATTTAAAAGTACGAAAAATTAAATAATTTTATTATAAACCAAATATAATTTATGATAAATTAAAAATCTGAGCTCAAATGAACCAAGAAATATTTTACAAGCTAATCTGTGTATAATTTAATTTTAATTGATGAAAAAATAATTTAACTTTTGAAAATTTCTTCTCATATCTTATGCAAGTAAAAAAAAAGTCAATAGTAGTGATTAATGAAGTGAGAATCAATAGAAGTGATTAATTATATGAAATTGACTTGAAAAACTCTGAAAAAACAGAAGTTTAGAAGATGAACGAGAAATGCACCTGAAAATGACAGCCAATATGAAGGTGAAAGCTGGTATGAGGTTGCTGAGAGCAGACGCAAGCGTAGGCGATGCGTAATTCAGTCCCTTGTAGCCACACAGTTGAGCTGCCACTCTGCTCACTCCCCAATGCAATAGCAAAAATTAACATCAACATTTTCAATCACATGATCATCAAGATTTTTCTTAACTACAATTTTACAATTGCTCTCACGAGGAAAATTACGTGTGGAATCTAGTTCAAACCGATCTGAATTGTCTAAATAGGGTAAAAAAACTGCATAATTTGATCATACCCGATTACTCCAAGGAGGAAAATTCTGAAGATGAGAGAGAGGTTGAGCTGTGGAAGGCCTCTTGACCTGAAGAAATGCAGAAAGAAGATGAAGAATGGTATCGAATTGCATAGAAGAATTGATTTGAATGATGAAGAGGTAATAGAGAACCATCGAAAGACGAAGGGCAAAGGCAAAAGGAGAAAGAGAACAGAGATGAGATATGAATAAGCGATGAAGGCATAATAACCCAATCCCTTCTGAGTTGCAGCTTTGAATAGAATGTTCACACCAACGTTGGAGAACTCTATGGCAACCATTGCAATGAATGGAAGCACTTCCCTGTAACAGTACCTCTCTCTCATCATCTCTCTCTGCTTCAACTTTTCAGGTCTCTCTGGTTATTCTTTTTTACTAATGTCACCGCTACCATTAGTTTTATTTATTTATACATATTTTTCTTTTTATTTCAGTAGTTTGATTTTAGTTTTTTCTACTTTTTTCTATTTTAACTTTTCCAGTTGACTTTTCCTGTTAATTCTATCTGATTCTGTTTATTAGCTTGTTTAGATACGTGTTTTTGGACATGTTTAAACACATATCTTATTTTCCAATATAGCAAACAAAAAAAACCTATTCTGCTACTTTTACAAAAGAAAAAAAGCAAGTAAATGTTTAATATTTATTTTATTTCCAAATATACCAAAACAAAAATAACGTTCCTATTATTTAAAGGAAAAGCTAGTTATGGTTAACAGTACTTTTTTAACAAGTTCTGATTTGAATAAATAAAAGTATTTGTAAAATTGTTAACTTATACTGAGATAATGTCATCGTAAAATTGTTAACTTTGCTGACATTGTCATTAAACCTATCACGAATTCTTTCTGTTGGGATTGAGTTACTTATTGAAAGCATTTCAAATTCTTTTAAAGATGGGATAGATTTCTTAATGATTCTTCATCTGTTGTTTGTCTTCTCTCTTTCTTGTTTAAGTTGTATGGATGTGTATATGTTAAAGATACTCCGACACTTCAAGTCCAAGCTTTATTTAAAGCATTTCAAGTTGTTTCGGACCGGTTGATCATTTCCTCGTTCGATGGTCGACGGCCCGATTCTTGCTTGACCGGGTGGTCATACAGTATACAGACCCGCTCAAACCCAAGCATGATATAATACGCGAGGGGGTTTTAGGTAGTCCACTTTTGATGTAGATTAGTTTTACCTTCGACACTTGTCTTTGTCTATTGTTGTACGTTGATTAAGGTGATTGGTTGGAAGACTAAAATAGGTTATAACGACTGAGACACATAGGTTATTAATCCTACTTAAGCGACATGTCGTGGAGATCCACAATTATCAAATTTCGGTGACACCAGTCATGAATCCTTTGGTGAAGATCCACGGTCACCGACCTTTGGTGAGGCCAGCCAAAATTCCTTTGGTGAAGATCCATGGTCATCGACCTTCGGTGAGGCCGACTGAGATTCCTTTGGTGAAGATTCATGGTCACCGACCTTTGGTGAGGTTGGTCAGGATTCCTTTGGTGAAAATCGACAGTCATCGACCTTTGGTGAGGCTTGTCGAGATTCCTTTGGTGAAGATCCACGGTCACTGACTTTCGTTTAGGTTAGCCGATATTCCTTTTGTAACATTTTGATTTTTAGGATGTCCCGATTATGAGTGAAATTTTTAAATTAATTGGAAATCGAAGGTGCAGAGATCCAAAAATAATAATAAGATAAAAATTAGGTCTTTAAAATTAAAATAATGAGTAATAAAATCAATTAATTAATAGCTTACGAAATTGGAAATAAGAAATAAACAATTATTGGGTTTAAAGAGAAAAATAATAAGATTATAATCATTAATTAGAATATTAATTGACTTACTAATTTTAGTTTAATAAAAGAGGAAAATTATGTGATTACTATCATTAATTAGATTAATAAATAATTTATTATTTTTAGTTTGCTATTAAATTTTATTTATTTATTTATTTTGATCTATTGTTGGAGTAGAACTTATGAGAGGTTTATGTTGAGTACATTGTAGTTTTGAATGAGACTTTAGATAATGATGAATGAATAGTGTTAGACAAAGAATGAGAATGGTTGTTGTACTTAGGTATATGATGAACTTTGACTGATGAGTGGAATGAGTGAGTGTTGGAGTTGTATCTCAGTGTATGGTAGATGAGCATAAGAGTGAGGGATATGTCCACTTGTTGTACCTAGTAAAACTTGAGATTATCGATCGTCTGATACGAGATAACAACTCCCTTTGGCCTTGTGTGAGAAAAGGGGGTGCTCGGGCATTGAACCTTTTTTGTATGGGGGTGATGGTGTTTGCCTTGTCCTTGTGTGGCAGGAAACATGTTCCTTAGCCAGGATGGCAGAATTACTCGAGCAGACATGTAGGGGAGGCTACAGGTTTGTGAGGTAGGGTACAAGAGTGCGACTGATTCATTTCATTATGGAGCTATGGTACTGTGGAAGCTCATGGTGTTATTCGTGATGAATGATTCATGATGAGGTTAATTCTGATGGAGGTACATGTGTTGATGTTTCTGGATAACGATGTGTTTGAAGATAATATTATACGGATAACCTTGATGGTATAGTTACGGTATGAATGATGAGAATGTTGATGATGATCATGGTGTAGAAATGATTCTGTTAGTATGATAGCGCTGTAGATGATTGATTTGTTATTAAGTTGTGTTTGCTTCCTATGTACAAAGTTTATTGTTATTGGTTGTTCTATAGTAGCTTACCCATATTTGTTTGTGGTTGTGTATTGTAATGATCGATAACTTTTGGTTATACGGGAGCAATGAATTTTGCAATGCTCCAGATGCATGATAAAGACGCGAGAGTGGGAAAAAGACTTGGTTATTTAAAGTTTTTGTGCTATAAACTTTAGAAACAATGTAATTGAGTTTACTTTATTTCGTTTTTATTTGATTATTTTCGGTATTATATAATTGGATTTCCGCAATGGTGTTATGGTTTTAAAATTTTTAAATTTCACTTGTGATCGGGACATCCTAAAAATCGGGATGTTACACCTTTGATGAAGATCCATGGTCACCGACCTTCGGTAAGGCCGGCCATGATTCCTTTGGTGAAGATCCATGGGGTGGCCTAGTACTTGAGACCAGGGTAGGCCGAGCAGTTGAGGCCAAAGAAAGACCGAACAATTAAGTTCGAACACTTTAGGCCAAGTGTTTTATTTGCAAGGTCCTATCATCTCCACAGTAAAAAAGAAGCAATTCAAATTTGAACGGTCAGAAAGAGTGTAGTCAATCGGGCTAACACATTTACGAGGTTAAACAATTAATATCAAGCTGGCTTAGGTTATAAGGTTGGATGACCATGCAAGCGAGACCGTTCGGTCTTCGGTTGAACGTTTGAAGGCCAAAATGAGAAATCGATATTAGAATGTGTAACGACTGAGATGTTAGTGCTTAATGCCTTGTGACCTGTATAAGAGATGAAGACGTTGACCGTTATAATATGGATAGGCACCACTCGTAATATGCTAAACAAGGGTTCATTCTCAACTTCGAAACCCAGCCGCGGTTCTAAACCTCTCAGATCTCTCTTCGTCCGCTGACAGAACATCAAACTTAGCATGGCCAACAAAGGTGAGGGTCCATCCATTGGAATTGATCTCAGAACCACGTACTCCTACAACAAGTGTCTAGTAGTATGATCGCGTCGAGATCATTACCAATGACCAAGGTAGCAAAACGACGCCATCTTACATAGGGTTCACCGACACCGAGCGTCTCATCGGTGATGCCGCCAAGAACCAAGTAGCCATGAACCTTAATAACACCGTTTTTTATGCCAAGAGATTGATTGGTCGTAGGTTCATCGATGCCTCTATTCAGAGTGATATTAAATTGTGGCCTTTTAAGGTGCTTTCTGGACCTAGTGATAAGCCAATGATGGAGGTTAATTACAAGGGTGAAGATATGCAGTTTTCCGCCGAAGAAATCTCTTTTGTGGTACTTATGAAAATGCGTGAGATTGCTAAAGCTTATCTTGGAACTACAGTCAAGAATGTTGTTGTTATTATCCCTACTAACTTTAATGATTCCTAGCGTCAAGCTACCAAGAATGCTGATGTTATCGTTGGTCTTAATGTCATACAAATTATCAATGAGCCTATTACTGCGACTATTGCTTATGGTCTTGACAAGAAGGCTACCAGCGTTAGTGAGAAGAATGTGTTGATTTTTTATCTAGGGGGTGGTACCTTTGATGTCTCTTTACTAACCATTGAAGAAGGTATCTTTGAGGTGAAAGGCACAACTATGGACACTCATCTCGGAGGTGAGGATTTTGATAACAGGATGGTGAATCATTTTTTTCAAGAGTTCAAGAGAAAGACAAGAAGGATATCAATGCCAACCCTAGAGCACTTAAGAGGTTGCTTGTGAGAGGGCAAAGAGAACTCTATCCTCCACTGCCCAAACCACCGTTGAAATTGATTCTTTGTATTAAGGAATTGATTTCTGTTCCACCATTACTATTACCAGTTGAGAAGTGTTTAAGGGATGCTAAGATGGACAAAGGACTGTCCATGATGTTGTTCATGTTGGTGTTTCTACTAGAATTCCCACCTGTGGAGGGCTCGATAAGAGTTGAAAACCATTATCTGCGGGCCAGTTGCTCAAAGTTGGTCAAGGTTGAGCACATTACACAGGGAGAAACCTGGGGCTAGGCGACTAGGTGATTGTCTTCCATTGTACCGCTCATCTCGTTCCTTGTGGCTAGAGGAGATGCCGCTCGATCCCATAGTGGGTGACAAAATGTTTTGGTTTAGGGTTGAGGTCATTCCAAGCTCTTCTGAAGACCAAATAGGCTCCCTAATGATCCTTCATCATCCAAGTTATGTTGTTCGCCCTCTCTCCTTCTTGTCCAAGGTGTGTGGGTGGATACCTGTTAAAGGCACTCCTATATTCAAGTTAGTGATTTTACTCAATAATTTTGTGATAAAAATGAGTAATCAGAATTAATTACATTTCCTCCATGTCTAACATATATTTATAAATCTTATAATGGGCTTACAATTAGGTTTGATCCATTAATTACTAATAAATGACTTTCATTATTCATATTAATTGAAAATTAATGACTATTATTTTTATTAACTGTCAATTAATAGTTGTTATTGATCATATTAATTATTAATTAATAATTGTTTTGGACCGGTTGACCATTTCCTGGTTGAACGGTTGACCGTCCGTTCTTGCCTGACCGAGTGGTCATACAATAGAAAAATTAAAATAAAAAGTGACATATTTATAAGAATTACAATAAAGAATTTGTTATTAGTATGAATTAAAATAAAACATGATATATTAGGACACAAATTAAAAAAGTTATTAGAACTAAAAGCAA